TTCTTGATGCTGTTTTGCCATTTAAGCTTTATTCCCCTGAAGTGCATCATAAAAAAAGTAAATTTCTTTTGATCACTGGGATCAGTGGAATTCCTGTGTACATAATAAGATCATAGGCACTTTTGGCTGTTTATAAATTTTAGTAGTTGAATTACTTGCTTCTCTCACTTACGTATTAGTCTTTTTAGACAGATGATCAACCGCCAAAAAGAATACGACGGGAGTCAAGAGATAGCGTAGGCAGTGTCAATGAAGAAGTGCACCAGTTAGTCGGACGAGAACCGGATGGTCATGTGGGTCAAATACAGCTAAAAGCAGTTGAAGAAGAGGTCAAGGAAGGAAGTAGTGTGGGGACAACTTTGAAGTAAAATATAAAAAATCTTCACGCCGATAATTTTCTTTTGGTTTATAAATTTATTTTATTATATCAAGCACCTGCACTTTAGGGCTCCTATTTACGGTCTGCCGTCTTCGTCGGGAACTCATGGTAATCAAAGGCCAGAAGAAGGAGCTGACCCTTTGGAAAGTGAAACTAATTTGCCACCTTCTAATACACCTGGTCGAGTTGCAAATATAGTACAAGTTAGAGAAACAGGACGAGTTTCGAATGGGGGAGAGCCACTCGGAGTAGAAGCAGAAGTGTCTTATCATGGCAGTGACGGGTATGCATTTATATGATTTGATTTCATACTGGTAATAGTTTTTTTCTAAAAATAAGTTATAAAAATTTTTAGGGCAGAAACACCACCTAACACAAGTGCAGTACGTGTTATTGGAGTCCCACATTCGCAAATTTCGCGTGTTTATCAGGCGAATAGGGGGGCTACAACTTCATCTGGACGTAAGCGTGTAGTAACAGTTTATAGACCCCAATAAGAACTGCAAAACCAAAATTGATACTCAGTTCTTATTGTTTGAGTATTGTTTTAAGTTTTTTATTTTTGAAAAACTTTGTTGCTCTGTTTTAATGACTTTACAATGTATGAAGATGCGGTGCGGTTACCATAGCAGTTCGCTTAGCGTTTGTTTTTTGCAAAATTTCTTCTGAAATAAGTTTCGCAAGAAGAGTAAAACTGCAGGTTTATTTCACCAAATTATTTAATACCTTACAACATCTTCAACAGTGATGTAACATTTAAGGAGTTTTCCTCACTGTTTTACTTTTGAGGTTCCTCTGGTATTCTACGTTTTAAATAGATACCGGGTGTTTTTTTGCTGTTCTTTTTTTTGGTCTTTGCTTGGGCTTGAGCGTTTGGTTTTGTTCTCGAAATTGCTTTGTCTTCAATGGCTTTATCTAATGTTTTATATAAAAATTATGAAGCGTACATATAATGCTTCAGTGTTCTTCAGGATTTATTTTACTTTATGAGTCTCCGGTTTTTTAAACTTATAAGCATTTTTTGCCGTGGGGTCTTCACCGTTCTGTACCACTATTCACGGTTGGTCTAAGTTACCCGCCTTACCTGTGCTTACGCTATTTTAGCATCTTACAGTAGATGTTACTAAGCGCTAGCCGTCAGAAACTAACCTTTTATTTTGACTGTTTGGTTGTGGTGGTTTTTGCAGTATGAGGTTTTGAAACAGCGAGCGACAGTTCGGGGTCTAGTGAACTGCTAAGGTAAGCGTTGTCTAACCTTTTCGGTTTCGCTTGTTGTACTCACTCATCAGTTATGTTTATGAATTAAATTGCAATTTCTGCTGGAATTTTCTATTTTTACGTGTTGCCTAAATTTAAATTTTAATACGTTGCCCGCAGTCTTGTTTCCTAATAATTCAGGAATAAGTAATGCGTTAGTAAAACATTTTGTATATTTAATACATTATAGATACTGAATTAGTTCTTTTATTTTTTCCTATTTTGTTTTAGACATTTAGTACTTTATCATTCAAGATTTCAGATTTTTGTTCCTTTTTAATTGCTTTGTTAAGTTTTTTTTAAATCTTGTTAGGTTGGTTAGCGGACGCCTGCTTTTCTTTCTTATAGAATGTGCTGAATTCATTGCTTTGGTGTTACAGCAAGATATTCAGACAGGTTCTTCCCAGTCATTGTCTTCTAGATTTTGAGTACGGGGTAGGTTTCGAAGTTCGATTGTTCCAAGAGCTTCTTGGTATTTATCTTTTCGATACTTGCCATCTACTTTTAAGAACGCTTTTAATAATCTCAGACTAGATCTTTAGATCTTTTTTCTGTTCTTACTTAGCAATAGCTTTCGACCTGTTTTAGTGATTATCTTCCGTCATGTAACGTTTGTCGCGAGAATGTTCATTTCTGGAAAAATTGCACTTATTGATTGTTCAATTATCTTGTGACGGTTTTTGCTTTTTTTTTTTTAAATTCGCAATAAATATTTTTCAATAAAAATTTTTGGTCTGGATTTAGCGCGGAATGAGAATTTCTGCGTAGAGCAAGAATTATGAGAAAATGGGAGAGTGACATTCATGTGAGAAGCATATGGTTTTTGTGAGGGTGGCTTTTGCAGTCTCTTAAGTGGAAGTTGTTAGGTCGGTTCTTTACATTTGTTAGAAACAGCCACTCTAAATGGTGAATTTGACGGAAGGACGTAGTCCGGAAATTGGTGGTCGTTGAAGGAAGTTTTGTAAAAAACAAACGCATAGTGAATTTTCTTTACTAGGTTTTTTGCTCGAATGACTTTGAATTTTGCTTCATTTCTTATGAATCCTGCAGTTAAACCTCATGCAACAGCAAGACAAAGCGCTTCAGAGGTGACAATGGCAGGTACGCGTCGAGGTAACGACCAACATTGCGGTGGATATTCTACACGGTATTGTTTTGAATTTCTGAGTATGTATGAATTGGTAAAGCTGAAATGGCTTTGTTGAGGGGTTGATGACTATTTATTTCGATTGGGTTACAGGAAGAGGACACACTCACCGGTTATGGTTGTAAGTGATACATTAGTGTCGTCATCGAGATTGGTGCCTCTTGCTCATGTTTCACATGGAAATGAACAAGTTGTAAGGCGTCCTCGTTCTGATATGGGAGGAGATGTTAAGCCAGAAATTTACCGTGAAGGTTTGGCAAAGTTTCCAACGGATGGTGGCGATGGTACTAGTTTAAGGTAATTTCAAGATGTTTTATTAGTGTGTTGAGATGCACAAATTTCTGTATAAAAAGTTATGAAATTATACACCAGTCGATAAAAATTTAAAACGAAATTAATAGAAGGATTTGTGAACGTTGTGTGCTGTATAACTGAAGTAAAACGTCAAGGTCATTTAATGAGTTCTTGAATGGATTAAAGGCTGTTGCATGATTTTGAGGGGGTAGTTCAGATTTTTATATTTATAACTGAAAAGAAGTTTTTCTACTAGCTTTTCAGCGAAGCCTTTTTGGAAGTTAATTTGTCATATCTGACCGTAAAGTACTGTAATTTGGAAAAAATTTGCATTACTTACATCCAACTAATAATTGGGTCTGTACTTATCTAGCGGCAATATGTAGAAAATTTTTCAAGATGAACTTGTGTCTTTTGTTGCTGGGGTAACATAAAACGCAACGAAATCTGCTTTTATTGCAATATAAGTCAAATGTCTCGCCACCATTTCTGGTGTTTCATGTTGTATGGAACAAAAAACCGTTTTGAAATTGTTGTAGAAGATCCAATTTTTAAATTTTGTGCTTCCAGTTCATTCACATTTAGTGCCAGTTTGCAAGACATGGAAAACAGTAATCAAACAGAGGGGTGTTCTAACATTGCACCTGGAACAGCCCCGAAGGTCAGTCTGAGTCGTAATTTCACACGAAAAGCGGTTGTAGAGTCCAACCATAGCAAGCTCCCAGACCAAGGAGTTCGTGCAGCAGAAAATGAGACGGTACTTGACCAGCCAGTCCGAGGTTTCACTTCTAAGATAGATAATCCCCAGGTTTATAAGTTCTCTCTTTTATATTACATGATTCATTCAAGGTATAAATGACTGATAAAGCAAATTTTGAAGCAACAACATTATAGGGTTTGGTAACTCCAAGACCGGTTATTGCAGCACAACGCCTTCCGTTACTTGTTGAGTCTACAGATTCAAATGGGATGGCTGCTGCTGCTGCAGTTGCAGCCGCTACAAGCAGTATCGTTTCTCATCAGGTTTTTATTCTTTTTTTGCATTATGTATATGTCACTATAGGGAC